TGTTTGCTTGGGTGGCTGTTCTGTTGTTCATTGCGTGGTGGAAGAAATTTTCCCCTAAGTTACCACCAGCGCAGGGCGAAAAGAGTTCCAGTTCACCCGCTGGGTACCACTCAGTTTACAAGCGTCTTCACCAGAAATTCCATTGTATATTTGACCACTACACCGGCCAACCTAAATAATTTCCCCATGCTATATTTTCAAGCCATGCTGAAAAGCAGCCGTAATCTGTAGCACTCCCCCCCCTCCTCCCAAGGGCTCCTTATTCTTGCAGGAACCCTCCTAGTTTTCCCCCTACGGTCTGTCACGGGCGTGTCCCTATCTTATCAGCTGCTGACGTCAGTCAGCCTGTCGGTCGGTCTGCGAATCCAAAATCGATTGCGATCTTTCACTCCAGCTGGATTGATCCTGTTAATCCTACGGGGGAAGAAATTTTATCCCCGGCCCTCCCAGGCATTTGTGCGGAGTACATATTGTATGTACATACATGCTCGAATTTCTGCACAAACGACAAGTCAATCATCTATTTCCTGACTCCGGGGGCTTGGACGACCTACAAACGCTTACGCCGGCAGACCAGGCCATAAGTCCGCATACCTCAACAAGCACGATGCATCTCGAGTATGAAAATCAAGTGAGGAAGGGCAGATTGGCACTGTAGTTGGACAACGCCGAGTATCTGCACCATACAAACTCGATTTCATTCGGGACATTAGCAACGTACAGAAGTTGTTTTCTTGAGTTAAACCCCTCTCTCCTTTTTGGGGGGAGGGGACCAAAGGGAAAAAGTGGAAAGAAAGTAGTTAAGAGAACAGGGAGGCGGGAAGAAAAAGAAAAACACAAAAGCGTACATTACCCTATTTGCCATACTCTGGATACCTATTGAAGAAAAACAGATCTAACTACTCCGTACTCAGTAGTGAGAACCGTGGTAGCTGATGGCAAGCCTTAAAATAGTAACAATCCAACCGAGCTAAGAGAGCGGCAAGAAATTCTCCTCCATGCAAAAAACCTACACCGTACTAGCGGCTATGTAGGAACTACCTGGGTACGGAGTAGAGTCGCTTGTAGCCAGAAATGCAATTGCCTCTGGCAAAAGAAGACTTCCATGGTTGGTTTTGCCGAGATTATACGGAGGACGGTGAGTGGATGTGTGTAACAACGGTGTACATACCTCCCAAGGTTACAAGGTTACCCTATCGACCTTAGGTACACCGGTACCTACTCAGTCAGAGGAGAAGGTTCTTTGCATTAACTACCCCGTACGGAGTACACCGTACATTGAATGGCATCCGACATCTACTTCGACTTCCCTGCAAGGGGTTTTCGGACTCTTCGTAGTTCGTACTACTAATCGGCGTGGAGCTGTCTGCCGCTGCCGCTGTTCTTTCTTCGGTCAAAGAAAAAGAAAAATGAAAGAAAAGGGGAGACGGAATGAGTTGACTAATGGTGACAATAATAGTAATACTCTGTCCAGTGGTGGGATATTTTTGACCTCCTAAGTGGGGCTTATTGGCCATTAAGGGTTAGAAAAGTGCCTGCTACTTGTTCCAAGCCATGGGCGTATGGGTCTTGACCCGAATCACGAGTGAGACACGCTGATAGACTGTGTGAGGCGTAGAAGGGGCGTATTATTGGCTCTTTGCCTGATTGAATAATGAATCATTGCCTCCTGGCACTAATAATAATACCTCCGGTACTGGGGGGCTTGCAGCCCATAGCAGCTTCCTACCTTAAAAGGTCTGTGTGCTGTTGTGGGCCGATCTCACAACATAAAACATAGCAGCTCCCCCTCTTCCCTCCCTCCTTCCAACTGATTGTCGATCCTGCTCAACATTCTTCTCCTTCCCCCCCCTCCTTGTTCTTCTCTCTCCTCCCAACTATCTTGCATCTTCTTTAATTCCCCTCCCCACCCACTCGATCAAGTTGATACTGGTATGCTCTTCTCCTACCCTTTCCCTCTCCGCAGCGGGATTATTCGTTGACAACGTTGTTTACGTCCCAGGGTTTACTTGGCATTTAAAATCGAGCCTAGGTCGCACGTATACCTCATACCCCAAACCCTCTCCATCTCGTCTCTTCATCTCAACCTCTACCTTTCTTTGAAACAAAATGTGGTATGTTCTAGAAGACCGTTAGGAAATTGGCTTGGAAAACTCACCATCATTCACAGTGGCATCTTCGGCTATATCAACTACCTGGTTGAGAGAGACCGCAAATATATCATCGACACTTTGCTCAATGGTAGGCGCCCTCGTATCCCTGTTTCTATTACTGGGGGCCGTGCTCCTCCACGACTTGGTAGTGTCTTCGAATTGGGGATTCTGACTAAGGACAGGTCTTTCGAGACTCGAATACCGCGGTTATGACTCTGCAGGCCTTGCCGTCGATGGCAACAAGAAGAATGAAGTTTGCGCGTTCAAGGAAGTTGGCAAGGTCGCGAAACTGAAGGAGCTCATCGAGGAGTGCAAGCCCGATCTGACCAAGACTTTTGAGTCTCATGCTGGTATCTCCCACACTCGCTGGGCCACTCACGGAACGCCTTCCCGTCAAAACTGCCATCCCCACAGGTAAGTAAGGGTCTCTGTGCCAGCTCTAAATTTCATATGCTGCCTACGTCGATTTAACCATGGCTACGAACCATAGGCTGATATAATTTGCTGTCTTCTGTAGGTCTGATCTGAACTGGGAATTTTCCATTGTTCACAACGGAATTATTACCAACTACAAGGAGCTGAAGGCTCTGCTTGAGACCAAGGGATTCCGCTTCGAGACCGAGACCGACACAGAATGCATTGCTAAGCTCACAAAATACCTGTTTGACCAGCAGCCAGACATCGAATTTACGGTGCTGGCCAAGGCCGTTGTCAAGGAACTTGAGGGTGCTTTTGGTCTCCTGATCAAATCAGTCCATTATCCCCATGAAGTCATTGCCGCCCGGAAAGGTTCTCCTCTGGTGATTGGAGTGAGGACATCGAAGAAAATGAAGGTGGACTTCGTTGACGTTGAATATTCGGAGGACGGCCCGCTCCCGGCGGAGCAGGCTTCTCAGAACGTTGCCCTAAAGAAATCGGCCACCGGGCTTCTTGCTCCCCCAGACAAATCGTTGCTGCACCGGTCGCAGTCTCGTGCCTTCTTGTCTGATGATGGTGTCCCCCAGCCCGCAGAGTTTTTCCTGTCTTCTGACCCGTCTGCGATTGTTGAGCACACGAAAAAGGTGCTCTACCTCGAAGATGACGACATCGCCCACATTCATGAGGGACAGCTCAATATCCACCGACTGACAAAGGATGATGGCACCTCCAACGTTCGCGCCATCCAGACCATTGAGCTCGAACTCCAGGAGATCATGAAAGGTAAGTTCGACCACTTCATGCAGAAGGAGATTTTTGAGCAACCGGAGTCCGTTGTGAACACTATGAGAGGTCGTCTCGACGCTGCCAACAAGCAAGTCACGCTTGGTGGTCTCCGACAGTACATCTCGACCATCCGTCGTTGCAGAAGAATTATCTTCGTTGCCTGCGGAACTAGTTATCACTCTTGCATGGCTGTGCGCGGAGTTTTCGAGGAACTCACCGAAATCCCAATCTCGGTGGAACTTGCTTCCGACTTTTTGGACAGACAAGCCCCTGTCTTCCGTGATGACACCTGCGTGTTTGTTTCTCAGTCGGGAGAAACCGCTGATTCGCTCATGGCTCTTCGATACTGCCTTGAGCGTGGTGCATTGACAGTTGGCATTGTCAATGTCGTCGGATCCGCCATCTCCCTTTTGACACACTGCGGTGTGCATATTAACGCTGGTCCTGAAATCGGTGTTGCCTCTACGAAGGCTTACACCTCCCAGTTCGTCGCTATGGTCATGTTCGCGCTCTCCCTAAGCGAAGACCGGGCGTCCAAACAGAAGAGAAGAGAGGAGATCATGGAAGGCCTTGCAATGGTCTCCGAGCAATTCAAGGAGATCCTGAAATTGAACGAACCGATCAAACAGATGTGTGCAAACTTCTTCAAGAACCAGAAGAGTCTGCTTCTGCTTGGTAGGGGAAGTCAATTTCCTACTGCCCTCGAAGGTAAGTTGCCGGATGATATTTGTACAGGCAGTATAGGTGATACTGACAAAATTTCTAGGTGCTCTCAAGATCAAGGAAATTTCCTACCTTCACTGCGAGGCTGTTATGTCGGGTGAACTGAAGCACGGTGTTCTCGCTCTTGTCGACGAAAACCTGCCTATCATCATGATCCTCACCCGGGACAACATCTTCACCAAGTCTTTGAATGCTTACCAGCAAGGTCAGTCGAACCACCTAACATGCCTGCCACCCCATAGTAGCACTAACTTGCCATCAGTTATTGCTCGAGGCGGGCGCCCAATCGTCATCTGTAACCATGACGACCCCGAGTTTTCGACCGCCCAGACGGATAAGATTGAAGTCCCCAAGACTGTGGATTGTCTTCAGGGTCTGCTCAACGTAATCCCACTCCAGTTGGTTTCTTACTGGCTGGCGGTTCTGGAGGGACTTAACGTCGACTTCCCTCGCAACCTCGCGAAGTCTGTCACCGTCGAGTAAACGAGTCTCATCAAAAATCCCTGTTTCAACAGATGGGCTCGCGAACCTGTAGGTAGGGCCTCGGTGATATGTTTGATTCTTACATGGTTTTCGTTTGTTTTCTATAGGACCAGAAGAATGCAATTGATACGAATGCCTTCCCACAAGTTTGAGGGATAAAATATTCAAATTGGGTTGCCGTTTGTATGTTCTCTACTAGGTAGCTTACGTGCTACTTTGTTGCGTTCGTAGTCGCGCAGGGGGGATGTCCGTAGAATTCCCAGGGTCGCGCCCTAGCCTTTCAGCGCGGGGCCAGGAATATGTAATCAAGAGCTGGCGGCGGCTTTGCTTCCCGTCCCGTACAATCTCCACAGTAGACTCTGAACACCTCAGAAGCGCATCCAGGCTACCAACTGAAGTGGTTCATCTTCGCCTCACTGTTTATACTCTTCTACTAATATGGCATCGTTGAAAGGACCTGGAGCTGCCCAAACCTATGATGGTGAGAAGCTCTTGATCGTATCTTAGCGTAGCACTTGCTCACTTACCCCTCACCGTGTTGCAGGTTCTGGCCTGAGGATTGCGATCGTCCATGCCCGATGGAACATGGGCATCATTGGCCCTCTTCTTGAAGGGGCCAAGAAAAGCTTGCTCGCTGCTGGCGTGACGGATGATAACATCACGACCCTCACCGTCCCCGGCAGCTACGAACTGCCCTTCGCGGCCCAGCGGTAAGGACTAACCCCTACCCCGCATTCGATTCACCGCACTGCCTGACCGTTAATTCTCGATTCCCTGCTATAGCCTCTACGCTGCTTCCCAGCTTCAGGCTGCCAAGGGCTCCTCGTCTGCCGGAGGAATCAGTGCCACAGACCTCTTGTCCTCCTCCACCACGGACCTCAGCAAGGCATCACCCCAGTCGCCTGCCTCCGTTGCGACCCGTCCCTTCGATGCCATCATCACCATAGGTGTCCTAATCAAAGGCGAGACGATGCATTTCGAGTATATTGCAGACGCGGTGTCCCACGGATTGATGCGTGTTCAATTGGAAACCGGTGTGCCCGTCATTTTTGGCGTTCTTACCGTGTTAAACGAAGAGCAGGGTCTTGAAAGGGCTGGTCTCGGCAAGAAAGGCATGCACAATCATGGAGAGGATTGGGGCATTGCCGCCGTTGAACTCGGAGTTAAAAGGAGAGATTGGGCCGAAGGTAGAATCGTTTAGAGACGATTCCTGCTCTCGCCCAGAACTACACAGGGCAGAACGACCAGGATGATCGGGCGAGACGTGAGTCTGGTCATCAATTGTAGCGAGGGTGTGGCCTATGGCTTTTGTACTATTGGCTGATTCCATTTTCCATTTTTTTTTTCTTTAATTTTTGAAATCGAATTGTTTATTTGTTCCTCGGCAACAAACTTGTAAAGGGCCGAGGTGCTAGGAAAGAAACGTAGAAGATGGGGAAAGGTATCCGCGTATGCCCGGGTTCAGTCTGTCACGCTCTATTCCTCCATTCGCTCGCTCTCGCCTTTCGTCGTCTCATCACCCTCGTCATCCTCCAGGGCTGTCTTGGCTGCCGTTTCGGCTTCTTCAAGCAGTTCTTTCGGTACCTCTTCGTGTCTGCCCTTGGTGGGCCCATCTAGCGAGCTAATCCAGGACATCTCAAGCTCAAACTCTTTGTCCTTGCTGTCTTCGTGGGCAACGTAGATGATACGAGCAGCCTCTCTCACTCCCTCAGCTAAGCTCAGACCCCCAGACGCCAGATCTAATTTCTCAAGTTCAGCTTTGGCAGCTTGCCTTCCCTTCCCAGTGGCAGCGCCGTAGTAGCCCTTCAGCAAAGTCAGTAATTATTTCTGGCTGATGGATCATGACATATTTACCCAATAGAGACCACTTGGTTCAACCATGTAAAGGCCCGGACCACCAGCTTTAGCTCCTTCCACTCGGCCGCCAGACCCTGAATCAGGCCCACTTCCAACCTGACCGTCAACAGCAAGCTCGGCCTCCGAGTCCCAGCCACCGATGATGGCGGTTACACCAAAGGGCCGTACGCTGGAATAAAGGGTATACGCCTGAACATAGCTGCCAAGGCGGTTTGATAGCGCGGAGACTGGGATGGGTCCCTTGTACACGTTTCTCCACGAGGAAGCTTCGTCACGAGCCCGAGAAACGAAGTGCCGACCGTCAGGGACAAGACCTGCTGATACCTAGAGACAAAACAATCCATACACGTTAGCACAGCCAATTGCGTTAATGACGCAAAGTTCGCCTGGATCTTCAGCTCGGTCTAGCTATCTGGGTATACTTACGACACCAACATGGCGGTCCACCGTTGCGATTCTTTTGTTTGCACCCGGCTTTAAAAGCTTGCTGGTGATAATCTTTTCTACCGCCAGCACAACGCCGTCCTTGCAGCGAATACCAATGGCAGTCCCTCCATTTTCAACCGCCTTCACGGCATATTCGACCTGGGGTAGTGTCAATAAGTGTTTCTACTGCGTTTGTAGATATGAACCAGATACCTGAAAGTTGCGACCATCGGGAGAGAAGACTGAATTCGAAAGGTCATAGCCGGTGCCGATGGATGTCTGGATTGCTCGAGCGTTAGTCCCGTATCGGGTCAAGAGGGCTCGGGTTGAGGGGTGGAATCAAACCATGATGGGTAACGATCAATTTGAAGTAGTCGCTATGTGAGCTGTGTGTGAAGCACTGATAAGCAAATCGCAGGAGGGTTAGGGATTGGAAAGAAGGAGGGCGGACATGTAACAAGCAGGAAGCTCCCGCAGATAAGATACAACTACCACCGAAGAAGGTACGTAAGGAGCCGGTTGGCAGCTGAGCTCGCGTCACGGGGCTTCTGCCTACTAGAGTCACCTGACCCGCCAGGGGACTTCTTGACCCAGTTTAACTTATCGCTATGTACATACTTCTGCGGACCGTCCTGATCTCTCTGACTGCTTAAGATCCTGTACGGCATTATAGAGACCACGAGATCTTCCAAAGATCTCTCATACCCGGGGCCTCTATGGCCCTCATCCTCCTGTTATTGGGGTCAGATGCGGAGTACCCCTAGCTCTACAGTCAAACCTGCCCTAACGACTGTCTGCCCGAAACGATCATTGAACTTTCGGGCATCTACAGCCCCTCCTTGTCCCTTTTCTATTAAACCCTCGCCGCCCTTCATCGTAGCGCTATGTATTCCTCTAATGAAATCATCAGTACTCCATACTTCGCTCACTGTCCAGGCTCGAATCACTTGCCCTCAGGTCGCTATATGTTTCAAGCCAGACTGACCACCAATCTCCCTCGCCACTTTCCTTGAACCGTCTCGGGGCACTTTTGCCTTCTTCTATCCTGCTACCCGACGGCCGAACTGATCATTTCTCCGTTTCCTCTCTCTCAGACATGTCTTTGTATACACTGTCAGGGCACCAAGTATGGGAACAGTCGCCCAGGGACCAAAGGCAGCCTGCCGAACAGGTCGGTTATCCGGGTTGCAATCAGGTAGTTAACCCTCCCCCTTTAGCCCTTTCGCCGCCTATTGAATAACTTATTGGGAACGGACATCTAGCACGACATTCCACGACCTGAACATGATCCAGTCGAGCAAGAAGATCTTGTGGCACGGTTTGCCAGGCAGATGAACATGGCAGCCCCAACGCCATCCGGGGCACCTTCGCAGGTCCCATCACCAATTCTCTACAGCATTACACAGCACTACCATCATTCCTCGCATGTAGTTCGACGGGAGACACCTGATGGCGCCCCGAAGGAGCACTTAATGCTCACTGAAACGACCAGTCTGGACAGGATACTGATGAATAATAATGTCAATCCATCATCTCTTTCACCAATGCAACGCCTGCTTTTCGAATATGCTATTCCAGAGCAACGCTCCCGATTAATTCAAATGTGGCAGATATATCCCGCAAATTGCACCCCAAGCATTGCTGAAGCCATGGCGGGAGGCCAGACCCAAGGCTTGGAAACTCCATTTGCTAGGACTACGCCTAACCATACACCGCAATCACATCACCTCTATGACGATGAGATTTGTGATCAGCCCCCGGGCGAAAATAACGATGATGGTCATCATTATGCCGAGCCCTATATGGTTTCTGGCTATGAAGATTATGCCCAGAAAGACCATGAGTTCTCTGCTAATGCAATCATGTCATTAACGGTTGAGCCTACTACTGGAACACCATACAAGATCGCAAATGATCCTGTCTACGGTATGGGGGGGGGGGGGGGGGGGGGGGCCAAAGGGGGGTATGAATTACGAGTGAGCCGGCCTGGGGTTGGTTGGGTAAAATGGATTAAAATTTTGGACAAAATGTCAAAAAAAAGCAGGGGCCCACA